TTTTTTCCACACTTTTTCATGTGTCCAACACATTTGGGAGATGAGGCGACTACGTGACACCAGAGTCGTCCACATTTTTCTCACATGAGCATGGGAGAAGCCTTACTGATGCTTGCTGAAAACATTTTTTTAGAGTGTGAATTCATGTGACTCTTCATGGTTTCTTATATCCATGGAGTTCACATCAGGACAAAGAAGAAACTGCCCAGTGGGTGTCAGCACCAGGCGTTCTTCAGAGCATTTTTCAGTCATTGCTGAGCCGGGTGAGCACGTTGAAGGGACAGTGTTTGTTGGTGCACCACAAAACACTGTACGATGGCGTACTGGAGAAGGCAACTTTGGGTAATATATTCATTCAATTTTCTATTTTTTGATTGACCAAAAGAACTATAGGTAGTCTTTTGAGGACTGGTGCTTATGAGGTGCTGTACGGACTGATGGATGAACTGGAGGACCAGTGCTATGTGGCATCTTGCAGCGAGTGTGAAAGCCCGGCGATCCATAAATTTGCGAGTGCTCAAGTCAAAGACCGGCTGCTTGAGGCCTGCACTTTGTTCTGTCTTTATGCTGTGGTGTGTTTGTTATCTTGTTTTGAACAAACCCTGTAGGATTGGAAAGCTGGAAAGGGACTGGCTGGCAAGTTGCAACCAAAGTACAACCCAACAGCAGACATCTCCCAGTTCAGTGACCCCAAGGAGCCAGCTATGAAGATGTGCACCATGGTGAATGGACATTTGAGTATCCCTACAGAGATCAGACAGCGATGGTTGAGCGACCCAATGCGAAGTATCTTATTTTACATTTGGCATCTTTTTGTTCAGAATCTTGTGGGACTTGTGGGAGAAACATGTTTGTTTGCGGTTTGCGGGTGTTTCCATGATGTTGTTGATCCTGAGATCCTGATTGGCGTGTGCGCCTGTCCAATTTTGACTCGGTCTTTGCGCCCAGCAGTGCTCCTACCAACCAGACGCCACCTACCCCTGCTCCAAATGCTGAGAATGTGGACCTTGCAGTGCCGTCAGCTCCACCAGCTCAGGTGACACGTGAGGCCCCGACTGGGCTCACATTGGAAGCCTTCAAGGCTCAATATCCAACATTGACGACAACAGTGACCATGAACCTGCAGCAGCAGCTTACTTGCTTTGTGGTGGACAGCAAATGCTTCATCACTTCTACGACGAAGTTTGTGATCCCACCCATCACATCACCACATGCTCGCCCAGCTTTCCTCTACGCAGGTGGCACATGGCTGTCTGACTCCGCGAAGGACTTCATCTGGCACAAATGTGTTGTAAATTGTTGTTGTTGTAAGTTGTTGTTGTAATTAAGGTTTGCGCACCGTTGCCGAGCGAAGGCGAAGGATTTTCTGAGCAAAGGGGCCAACGAAAACAAAGCAATCGAATGGAGGTTGCAGTCTGAAGAACAAATGGTTTCTTGTCTGATCCAATGAACTTCACCTTTGGCAACCATGTTTTTCATTTTGGGTGGGAAACACCTGTTTGTTCATGTGTTGCAACAAAGCAGAGGTGGTATTTGAAGAGACTACCTCAGAGAGGGGAGGGCCAACAGATTCCTCTCCGATGCCATTCAAAAAGCTGATGAATGACTTGGAAAGGCAAGGTTTCTTGGAGATCAAGGTGGCATCACACAAGGTGACACGACCTTCCGCTGTGATGCGTGGAGAGGAAGCGGACAGGCAAGGTTGTGAAATTGAACTGTTTTGTTTGTTGTATTTTTGGGCCCTGCAGGTACGAGATCGAACACGAGGCGTATTCAATCTTCAGACCAAACCCCGTCCAGGTCAAGAGTGCCAAATTCACCAATCTTGCCGGCCTGGTAGGATACAAGCCTTTGGCGAACTCCTCATGGATCCAGCTAGTGTGGCGCTGCTCGGTTGGGTTTAGAAGTTGTTTGATTATGTGGGTGCGGTGCTGCTTTACCAACAACCTCAAAAATTTAGAGTCAGGATGTATATCTAAGGTGTTCGTCACTTCACCCGTGAGAAAACACTCGGCCCAGCAAAGCCACTGTGGTTCTTCAAAGAAGGATTTGTGATGGAGCCAAACATGGTGTACCAAGTGGTGTAGAGGACCTGTGCCTGCTCCTGGTGGAAAAAGGGAGGCTGAGGCTGATGGATGTCCTTCAGCTTTGTGAGACTCTCTCTCTATATATATATCATAATAATATATATACTGTATATATATATATATTATATAGACACAGATATACAATATACAAACCTTAGATTTGTTGGTCTATAGGCTTAGAATTTGTTAGTGT